CGGGCTGTGAGGGGCTCAGCTGGGGCTGGTGCCGGTGCCGGTGGGGTTTGCTTTGCTGTCGGTGGGCTCTGCCCCCTCCTGCCACCCCTGTGCAGCTCTGCCAGCGCCCGGCTGGCCCCAGGCTGCAGAGGAGCAGAGCCAGCGCCAGTTTAACAGCGTAGATCCCTTCAGTGGACTTACCTGCACGTGGAAGCCCTTCAGTCCAGCTTCAGCTTGTGCAAAGCCACCTGTACCAGAGCCCCTGAGGTGGAAGCCAGTGGAGGTGCTGGTGGTGCTGGGAGGGCTTCGGTGGCAGCAGCGAGGATGGGGGGAGCTGTACCTGAGCACACAGTGCCCTGGGTGAAATTGCCTTCGAATCTGGGTCAGCGCAGGGACCGGCGAGCCCAAATAACAGCCCAGAGCAGGAATTACTGCTTAATTGTTCTCTACCCCTCGTTAGAAGCCTTCATTCAGCAATTTCAGAGGGCTTTGCAACCATGAATGAAGGATGCTTTACTGCTTGATGGTACTCCAGGACCTGTACCTGGAGGAGGAGGTGGGAAGAGAAATTATTTTTACCGTGACTTCAGGAGAAGCAGAAGCTTTGGGGAGATCCAGCAGCTCATATCTTTAACGTGCATAAACCAGTGAGCGTGAAAGCTATGAGGAACCCAAGGTAGACCCCGACCTTCTGCCTTTTAGCAAAGATGATGTGTGCGGTGGCCTCCGGCAGCCCCTCGGCTGCGGGAGCTAGCGGTCCCTGCCATTAAGGAGGACTGTTTTCACTCCAACCTCATTCCTGGAGGTTAATTGCATCTGGGTGAGCTCAGGAGAAGTCCACTGCCCTTTTAATGCTCGCTAATTTTCCTAGCAAGCAGCAGGGTTCAGCTAGGATTTAATTATTTATCGCGTTGGCAAAGCAATCTGCCGGGAGGTTACAGCGCTTCCGAAATGCACTTTGATAAAGGTGCTGTTTGTCATCGGGGCGCTGGGAAACCCGGCGAGGGGAAGGGGCTCGGCCCGGAGCGGGGGTCTTTGCGGGCTGCCCGGAGCGAGGTGCCTTCCCGCTGGTGAGCGGTGCTTGACGTGATCCCACCTTATTCTACCAAGGACGGGGCAACCACTATGCAATCTTCTTAGGATTGTATGAAATAGAATGGGACTTTTAACATAAATACTGTAGCAAAAGATTTACAGTGAGCAGAACGGCCTTGTTGCAGATTCTTGTTCTATTTGCACTTACTGAGAGAGGCTAGTACAAGCCCCAGTGCACAGACCCCCAGTCTAAAAAGAGAAGGCATACACAATGGTTACTGAGTTCAATGATGGAAAAAACCAGGAATTAAACAAGTGCCATTCAAGCAGAGGATTTTTTTGTTGTGGTCAAATAGATTCACAAGACAGCAATATACTTGTATTCCTGCAATCTCAGACAATGACAGCTAAAATATTAATAAGAAAATGCCCTTCTAAACTACTTGAAATCATCATGTGTTGGAAAAGTTAAAAATAAACTTCTGTTCTCTCATCTTCCAAATAATATTTTGAGTTTTGTTTACATGTTTTCAAACCCTGCTTAGAGAAGTTTCAAAATACTTGATGTGATAGCCAGTCATTCTTCCAGAAATCTAAGGGCTTGCCAACATGAAGAAGCCAGTGTGTGGCAGTTTGCACTCTGAATTTACAGTCTTGCACCACACTAAGCACCAAAGACAACCTTAATTTGCAGGAAGAATGTGGCTAAGGGGACCGACGGCCCCTGCTCAGGCTCCCTCCGGAAAGGGCGGATTGCGCTGGCTGAGCCCCGGGAGCGCGGCGTGGGTGGGTCAGCGGTGGGGATGCTCTGCTGCTCCAATGACGAGGGTCTGCATTCCCCCGCTGAATTATTTCCTCCTTCCCAAAGTGCAGCAGGGGCAGAGCAGAGCAGAAAACAACGTTCAGTGTTTTTTTAGGCAAATGCTTTTCTTGCAACGACAAAATAATCCGGCGTTGAGCACAGACCCTCAAACTTCCAGCTTGCAGCTGGCCCGGACTCTGCGGATGTGCTCGTGAAACATTGACCTTTCGGATCTGAATTCCCCCAACCCTCGAGGTCAGCGTGAACGCAGCCGCTGCCAAACCCGGCTTGCA